GGGGGGTAATGGAGGTAGAAGGTTGTTCACCTTCTACCTTCATCACCACCTCTACCTGTGGCTGCTGCTCTTTTCCCTGATCCGACATTTTCCCAGTTCAAATAACAACCAAAAATAAAATAACAGCTGACAGAGCTGCAGCGATATTCAGATTCCTGCAGACACACTGGAATCACTACAGCAACTCAACACTGGAGTAGGTGGGTATTTAGGCAATCAACAGTTGGGGTTAGAAGGGTGTCTCTGGGGTCAGGTGTCAGACAGACTGTAAGTCCAGCAAAATCAGCCACACGATTTCCTTTCACTAACCCTGGACCACACTGGAGTTAGTACAGCCACTCCACTACTTTTCTAGAGATCCACTAGTATTTCCAGTGCCCACTAGAAAGCAAGTGTCATCAGAGGGAATGATCGGAGATGGTTAGTACAGACGCAGAGAGATCAAATACCACAAGCGATGCAGACAGATACCCAATAACCTGACTCAGACTCACTTTTAGACCCTGATGACTCTGGCGGCCATACCCTAGGGTATGGCGAATCCCAGTTTTCACTGTATCCAGTGAAATACCCAAAATCCAAATCTGCGATTTGACAATACTGACTATTTCAATTTGCGATTCACTGGGGACTGACAGGACTGAATTTTGACGAACAGAATTTGAGTTATGATTGACCCTAGATAGCACAGGATAAAAATAGACTCAGCGCAAAACTATAATTCACAGTATCACTACCTTTTCAGTACAGAATTCACTGTTTGAGGATCCCAGGACAATCGCAATACAGTACAGCAGCCACAGAACTAATTTGGACCAGAAAGAGTCAACAGAGGATGAGATATGAGCAGAGAGAGGTAGGGGAGAGATGGCTATGGCTGTCATGCAGTCTGCGATTTTCATATCCAGTCACTGACAGACAGATAGACCATTATCTTTTACTAAACTACTACTACCTGGATCGCAATACAGGTAGGTGCATGGAACGGACTCACTTTCAGAGAATCTTGCAGGTAATGATGAAGATCTGGCTATGGCAGTAATACCCTTATCTCGCCAATTTCCTCCAGAGCTTCTTCCTGACAATCTCACGCACAGAACTGCTTCAAATTCGTTGATACTCCTCAGGATCCTGTAGCGCTGCACTCCCTTACTCCAGATACCCTGTATCTGGTCCTGTGGCACCAACTCGCCAACACCAAAATCTCTGACCACAGTGCAAGGTAGCCGCTGATGCTAAAAATAGCCCCAGATGGGGTTATTCCTCCTGGAGATTGATATACCGCATCAATCTCTATCAGCGCCACCCAGGGATGATGTCGCTCAGGGTTCCCTGATGTCCTCAAGGGTAAATCGCCACTCTGGGGTAATTCATTGTATCACCCTCAGGGTTGGCTATGGCGAATCAGCCCTGTACTCGCCACTTCTTGCCAAGCGCCCTGACAGGCTCAGTGCGCTTGTTCAGTGCAACCACAGAACACTTGAATTCACTGCTGAAAGTCTTCTTCCCTGCTGACTCAGTACTGGGGAAGATGAATCGCCATGAAACTCTCGCCAGTAGCTCGCCAAATGAAGAAGATGCCTCAGTGCGCTCAACCCTCAGTGTTCCAATTCCAATCCCGCTCCGATACCAACTGTTATGAACTTGGTTGCCTGACGAATTTTATCGCCACTCACACACAGACAATCTCACACATGCCCATACATGCATAAGAGAAGGGGAGAGAGGAGACAGAGTCCAAACTGCACACAGGTGGAGATAAGCAGCGGAAGACAAACATGCACAATTGGGGAGAAGACACGCAGTGTTTCTCACTCTCTGACACAGCTCCCAACAACCAATCACAAGAGAGAACCTGCGAAGATCACAATTGAAAATGACACTGATGATGAGCCACTCACACAATTATCGTAACAGAGTTTGTTCCAGTATCTCGCCACACTCAGAACTCACACCCCACTCTCTATCCTACACCCAGTTAGTAGCGCTGCATCAAAACAGCCTCCCAGAGGCCAGCGCAAACCACCCTAATGAAGAACAGGTCCTGCGATGAAGTCTTTAGTGTCGATGGACAACTCTGACGAAGGAGCAGGCAGCTATGGCTGCCACCACCCACGAACCACCACTGTAGAGCCTCAATACAGCCCGGCCATACGCAGATACCCCAGGGGTAGATGCGCTGAGGATGCCCCAGCTATGGAAGACTCATATGAGGTCGGTTATGGCTGCTGTTATGGTGCATCTCAGGATGCCGCCTGCAGACCAGCACCGACACCAACTTGCTTGGTTTCTCCAACGCTGCTCGCGAGAAATGAACTGCCAAAAGTCCTGAACCAATGGGCCTAACCTATCTATAGACTCTCTAGACCTAGACCGGACTGACTGACCGACCCGTATCGTTGCTGTTTCGGCCTCTCGGCCTCTACCGGACCTGGCTATAGGCCATAGGACCGTCTAACAGCATAGGCCACTTAGGGCCTGTCTGTCCTTGGGGTAGCCCGGGCCTGCTATAGGCAGTAGGGTAGCTGTAGGAATTCGGGTTAGTATCGGGCCTGTATTCTCCCGGATTTGCAGATCTGTCCCTCACAAATTTCCTTCAGGCAGGTCTCTCAGTTAGCCCTCAGCCAAACAAAATTACAACTCTAACCCTACATGTTAGTGTACAGCCTCCCAGTCAATCGCGACAGTAGAAATCAGCAAGTCATTGCACCTTGCTACCGTCTTCTCCTGAACACAATGCACCCTGATAATGAATGTATACAAGATATATTTCTGGTCAGGTACAGTCAAAATGAGGGTGCGTTGTGTTTGGGAAAAGACGGGTAGCTTCAGTCGAAGTTTAGGGCATACTCACACTGGGACCTTTTTGACTCAGCTTTGGATGTGATTGCGGTACGGTGCATCCTGGCCTCGCCACAATTGCGGTCAGATACATTTTATAAAGTGCTACCGTAGCGTCAGTATGCCCATAGATTTCAGAACTTCCAATTGTCACTCACCCTAGAGAGGAGGAGAGTTTTCACAATTTGGTTTCCAAATCAAGTAAAAACCTCTACCCTCAAACACCGACCCCGTTTCTTTCTGACCCCAACTCACTGACACCATCCATTACTGAAGTATGCAAAAAAATTACCTATTTATTTATTTATTTATTTATTTATTATTTTTATTTATTTATTTATTTATTTATTCACTTATTTATTGTAATTTTATACTGGCCACAGATCCCCCATCCACCACCCTTCACTGGGATTTCCTTTAAGAAAGGGTTGTGGGCATAATCGCGGCGCACCTATGCGGTGCGCAATGCGCTGCGACGCGCGGTGCGGGCACTGATGCGCAATGTGCGCACACTGATTCGGGATAAGCTATGTGCGGTGCGCTGCTCGGCACTTCAACGCGCTGTGCGCCAGTGCGCTGGGGGGTGCGCAGGGCGAGCGCATTGGTGCGCGTGCTGCACACATCGATTTGTATTTTTTTTTTTTTTTTTTTGGGGGGGGGGGGTCATCAGGCCTGTGCCCCTTCTTCGCGTCCTTCCCAGTGCCTATGCCATTTCATCATGCCTGTTGAGCTGCGCAATTACCACCTTCACGAGAGCCATTTTTCCTGCGCACATACAGTCCATCAACAGCCCTTTCGTCAGCCCCTTCTGTCACTCTTGGAGCACCTCCCAAATGCACCCCCTCCCCCCCCCCCACTCCCCCCCTCCCCTAACCCCCCTACCTCAGCCCCAATAACCCCCAGCACCCCCAAACCCGTTTCGCCCCCACAACACCTATTTCGCCCCAAAATTTCTGCAACGGCCACCCAATCACGGCACTCGATCCGACAGAAAGCTTTCAGCAAAACTTAACAATAATAAAATTAAACAAAAAGAAAAAGAAAATTGGCCACCACCCAATCAAGGCAGTCGCACCAAAAGAAAGCGAAACGCCATTTGAGGATGGAGGAACGACGAGAAAAGAGCGAAGTGGGGATGGCAGAGGGACTGAGGATGGAGGAACGATGAGAAAAGAGCGAAGTGGGGATGGCATAGGCAGTGGACATGGCAGAGGGAGGTAAATGGAGATGGCAGACATAGCGAGGATGGGAGAACGATGACGAGGTATTTCGCAATCGAACGGAAAAAAAAAGGAGATTGAAGACGGACCGACGAAGCATGGTAGAAAGACAAGGGAGGGGGGAAGAGAAGAATGGGGACAAGCACGAGGAAGGAGGAAAACTACGGCGAAGGAGCGAGGAAGAGGAGGAGAACGATGACGAGGGAGGAGGGGGAAGGGAGAAGGGAGGAGAGAGGATGGAGGGAGGAGGAGAAGAAAGTGCCACGTGRATGCAAAAGAAAGCCCRCGAATCAAGGAGAGTACCATGATGACAAGTGAGGGAGGAGGAGAACTATGTCGAAGGAGGGAGGAAGAGGGGGATAACGATGACGAGCAGCTGCGCATTTCCATTGGGAGAGAGGGAGGGAAAGAGAGAGAGAGAGGGAGAGAGAGAGAGAGAGAGAGAGAGAGGCTGGTGGTATGATAAGCGAGGGAGTAGGAGAACAATAACGACGGAGGGAAGAAGGGTCAGGAGGAGAAGAAAGTGCC